AACACCACAGAATGGAGAAATATTTGCCAAAGCTACACATCAGACAAAGGACTGATAACCAGAATATATAGGGAACTTAAAAAAACTAAATTCTCCCAAAACTAATGAACCAATAAAGAAATGGGCAAGTGAACTAAACAGAACTTTCTCAAAAGAAGAAATTCAAATGGCCAAAAAACCCATGAAAAAAGGCTCACCATCTCTAGCAATAAAGGAAATGCAAATTAAAACCACACTAAGATTCCACCTCACCCCTGTCAGAATAGCCATCATTAGCAACACCACAACAACAGGTGTTGGTGAGGATGCGGGGAAAAAGGAACCCTCTTACACTGCTGGTGGGAATGTAAACTAGTACAACCACTCTGGAAAAAATTTGGAGGCTACTTAAAAAGCTAAACGTTGATCTACTATTTGATCCAGCAATACACTCTTGGGGATATACCCAAAAGACTGTGACACAGGTTACTCCAGAGGCACCTGCACACCCTTGTTTATTGCAGCACTATTCACAATAGCCAAGTTATGGAAACAGCCAAGATGCCCACTACTGACGAATGGATTAAGAAAATGTGTATCTATACACAATGGAATTTTATGCAGCCATGAAGAAGAACGAAATGTTATCATTCTGGTAAATGGATGGAATTGGAGAACATCATTCTGAGTGAGGTTAGCCTGGCCAAAAGACCAAAAATCTATGTTCTCCCTCATATGTGGACATTAGATCAAGGGCAAACACAACAAGGGGATTGACTTTGATCACATGATAAAGCGAGAGCACACAAGGGAGGTGAGGATAGGTAAGACACCTAAAAAACTAGATAGCATTTGTTGCCTTAACGCAGAGAAACTAAAGCAGATACCTTAAAAGCAACTGAGGCCAATAGGAGAAGGGACCAGGAACTAGAGAAAAGGTTAGATCAAAAAGAATTAACTAGAAGGTAACACACCATGCACAGGAAATTAATGTGAGTCAACTCCCTGTATAGCTATCCTTATCTCAACTAGCAAAAACCCTTGTTCTTTCCTATTATTGCTTATACTCTCTCTTCAACAAAATTAGAGATAAGGGCAAAATAGTTTCTGCTGTATCGAGGGGATGAGGGGGAGAGGGAGGGGGCGGGGTGGGTGGTAAGGGAGGGGGTTGGGGGAGGGGAGAGAAATGACCCAAACATTGTATGTACATATGAATAAAAATAAATAAATAAATAAAATTTTAAAAAAAGAATATTACCAAGAATTCTATTTTTGAAGTATTTTGTTGAGGTTGAAACTAAAATGAACAACTATAATATATGGTCATATATATTATATAATACATAATTTATGTATCTATAGATTGTATTTGTGCTGTATAATATATATATACATCTATAAACATTGCATTGGATAGACATTTAGTCATTCATTCACCAAATTCTATAGTAGATTCACACAATAGGTGAGAGCTGATACAAGCCTTCTATATTATGTAGAGGAGGTTGGATATCCTGTGAGTAATTAGGACATAACTAAAGGCTTTTAAGCAAGAAAATGACATGATCAGACATAACCTTTGGTAGCCTATTCTGGTGGCTCAGCAGGGATGGATTTAAGGAAGACAGATTGGAAGCTGGGAGACCATTTGGAAAAACTAATTTAGTGGTCCAACAAGAGATGATGAGAACCTGAGCTCATCAAATTGGCAAAGGAGTATATGAGGGAGGGATGGATTTAGGAAATTAAAATGGACAGCTCTTGGTATTTGCTTGCTTGCAGGGTGATGACAAGAGGCTTGAATGACACAAAACACCAGCAGAGACAAAAAAATGCATGAGGAAGAAATATACTTAAAGAGAGACTTTGTATTTGTTCAAGGACAGGTGGTTAGTAGTTAAATCAGGACTTGAATAAGGTCTTTCTGCCCCCAGTGCTAATGCTTTTATCTGCCATGCTCTAGTAAGGGTGTCCATTTGATTTTCATCAAGGAAGTGATACCTGAAAAATGACATTTGAGCAGGAATGGTTTGCTGTTTTATAAGACAGAGTACAAGTGAGAAGGACTGGAATTGACAAGATAAAATGATCTTGCATTAATCTAGAATGAGATATTTGGTTTCAAGCTAGGATCGTAAGTGCATCTGAGACTGAAGAAGGAGACAATATAAAATTTCTTGTTAAGGAATAATTTGCAGGGAATGGATGCCAATTAGAAATGAGGACTGAAAGAGAAAGAAGCATTAAAAAATAATTTCCAGATTGCAGTCATGGGTTGGATATTTTCATCATGTGCCTCTTAAGGTCATGATTAAAATTTTAGGGATTATTTGTACACTGAGAAGGAAATGACAGTTTTTGGTCTTCAGAAGAGAGCTAGAAACATTTAATTTTAGGGCTAAAGAAAAGATTTACTCAGATATATCAATTGAAGCCATGTAAGAGGTGTTCACAGATTTCAACACTCTTTATAATAAGTATTCCAGTGCTGTAGTAGTTTAATAACTTAGAATTTAAGGAAAAGCTAAAAGTTCATTTAACATGAATTTCCCCTTCTTTGTTAAAAGTGGGTGGAGTAAAAAGAAAAGGATAGAGTGTTGTTTGACTCTATTAATATCACAAAGTGATGATTGTAAGGCCAGGAATAGGGTTCTGGGTTTCATTAAGGATTCTGCAGAAAGTAATGGTTGAGGGACAGAGCTGAGAGATCTTTAAGAGCAGTCGTGAACTGGCTCAACTTGTGAAAGACCTGGCCTGTGAGTTAGGGGGAATGACTTTGTGTTCTCTGGCATCTATACCAGGATCTTAACACAGACTAAACATTTGATCTTTGTCACATCATTGAATAAATACAAGGTTAGGAGTATGGAATTCAAAGTAAACGTACAATTCAAAATTCAAATCTAGTATATTACTTTAACTTTAATCATATATTTATTATTTTTCTATCAATATAAAATTCTAAACCTTATGAGTAAGTTATTTTAAGTCTTTTTGCAAAGTAGAGTCTGAATAATAAATTTAAAAAATTTGAAATTATTTTTTAAATAACTGACTCCAGTTTTTACCTTAACACACGAAAATGATTTTTTTCTTTGTAAAAAAATCTCAATATCTACTTAATTATTCTAACAATATTTTCATCCTAATCAATCATAATTATTTCACAGGGGATTATTAATTTTATTTTATAGATTTAGAAAAGAAAGCATAGGAACAATGATGATCTTTGTGGTTTTATATAGATGCTGAAGTTTTCATGACAATTATAATCACTTATTAGTTGTTTAGAGATGTTGGCTATGTTTAGAAACTCAAGGGTCTTCCCTTCCCCTTCTTTGGTGGGAGAGGTTATAAAAGTAGAGTTCTTACTCTTACGTTTTCTTTTTAGGTGTGAAGTTTTCAACATGAGTGGCCTTGGGGACAGTTCGTCTGACCCTGCAAACCCAGACTCACACAAGAGAAAAGGCTCGCCATGTGACACACTGGCATCCAGGTAGGAGCACTCTCTCTCCTGAGTCTGTTTTGTGGCAGAGCTTCTTGGTTATTTTCACTGCCACTTTGGAGCTTTTCTGTCATCTACTGTAAGACTAGTGACCTTCTTTGAGTCCTGCATACTCACCATGTTCTGGTCCTATCCCCAGAGTCTTTGTACATGCTTTTCCTTTAATCCAACTTAGTGCTTCTTGATTTTCTGAAATTAATACTTAAGTATCTTTCAGATGCCATCTTAGTTTTACTTCCTTAAAGGGAACTGTCACTTCTTCCACAATTATTACTTCAAATCTCCCTCATCCATGTATCTGTCTCACATGTTTTTTTTATGGCTCTGATCCTGAACTGCAGATTATGAGCTCATGTGATTACCTCATGAATTCTTGGCTTCTTTACTAGACTGTATGCTGTTTGGTAAAGGATCTTACCTATTTTTGCTCACCATTGTATCCCTATATTATAGCACAATGTGTGGCTAATATATTATAAAGACACAGTAATATTTGTCAGATGAGCAGATAAAGATATTGAACATCTTTAAATGCTATCGTAGACACCAAGAAATATATTGCTATAATAATAGAAATTTTTAAAGTGATTACTTGTGGAGTTAAATATTTGATATGTTTTAAGGAATATGAGCACTGTAAGCAGGCTAAAAGAAATTTAGTGGTAGGGAGACCCTGATAAATACCAGATAGAGAAGGAACTTTGCTGATGAAGAGCAGCTTTTGGGAGTTACAGCAAGTTTTCTGAGCATCTACAGTATTGATACTCAACCCAGAAAATTCTTTGTCATTTGCAGGGAGGGGGTCCTAACCTGTATATTGTAGAATTTTGAACAGAATCCCTGCTTCTATGCCAAAATCCAATAATAGTATTAACCAAAAATGTCTCCAACCATTGCCAGATGTTCCACCAGTGACAGGGAAAACAAAGTCACCACAGTTGGTAATCACTGAACTGGAGAACAAAGCTGTGAAGATTCTCCTGTCATGAGCTATGTGCTTTTTCCTGTAAGAAATGAAAAGAAAGGGTTTTTATGGGAGAATGCTAGGGCTCAAGGTTAGAAAAGGAAAAGTGATAATTTCTTTTAATCAGGTCAGAGAACCTTCAGAGAGAGACAATAACTTGAGTATTCATAAGCACAAGTAAGTGTCCAGATGTTAGGAAGAAGGTTGAAATCAAGATAGTATCCAGATTTGTGTTGTCTCAGTTAATGCTGTTGTTTATATCTGTATATAAAATGAGTCCTTGTTAAGGAAAAACTTCTGAACAAATAAATAAAATTGTCTTTTACATTTAATTTTTTATTTGAGGAAAAAATTTAAATATTTAAAAACAGAGACTAAGAAGTTAAAATGCATAAAATAATATAGAGTAAGAAGTTACATATATGACCACATATAATTGTCATATAATTGATATGTATTTGTTCATGTTTTGTCATATTTGCATATTATTATTTAAATAAAACTAATGCAGTATTAATAATTAAACTGATTTTTCGGTCTCCTACATAATTGGAATTGCAAGCATGTGACACTCAACCCAGTTTCCAATCTATTTTTAGTAGTTGTATGTATACACATAGGTATCAATAGAGCTGTATAGAATACTTGTTAAATTTACCTAAATTATATAATGGTGTATACATTTTTTCTATTATATGCTTTTGTCAAGATGGATCTTGAGATTTAAATATAGACATATACTCAGTCCTAGTAACTTTTGATTAGTACTGTATAATATAAATATACTACATTTGAAAAAAAATCCTTTTCCTTATAGCTCCATACCCCTGAAAGATAAACTGTTATAAATTTTTGCTATTGCATCCAGCATTGCAGCAAAAATTCTTACGTGTACTTCCTATTTTATAGCTAAGAATTTGCTTAGGGTTTATGTATATCTTAATGCTAGCTCAGTAATTACCACATTAACCTTCAAATGACAGGCTTTGAGAATTTCTCTTTTTCTCACACTCTTACTAACACTATTCTCTTCTCATTTTAATTGACATTTTGCCATTCTAATAGGTGTGGGGTTATAGTTTTAAGTACATTTCCCTGATAAGTAAATAAGTACATCATTGTTTTAACCCATTATATTTTCTTCCTCTGTAAATTTGTATCTTTTGACTATATTGTTCCAGGGTTGTTTGTCCTTTTCTTTTTTACTTATAAGTCAATTAAGATTTCTAGTTATTAATCTTTTTTTGCTCATATTGGATACAAATATCTCTATGCAAATATCCTCTATGATATCAGTTGACATACAGAAGCTTTGATCTTCATGTGTCAAGCATTTTGGGGTCTTGCTTAAGAAATTTTCCTCTACTATAAAACCCTAAGTATATTTTTATGTATTTTCTTCTAATCCACATTTAATGTTTTAATTAGTCTGGACTGTATTATTGTGCATAACATAAGGACCTAATTTTATTGTCTTTTCTAGTCAGCAGTTCTGATACTCTCCTTCCTGGCTTTTGTACTGTTACCTTTGTCATAACCAAGTTTCTCCATGTATAGGGATCTGGTTCTGACTTTCCTATGACAGTTGCCTTTTATATCTGATGGGGTGAGTCCCTTATTATTTTTCAAAATTATTTTCCTTATTCTTGGTTGCTTCTTTACCATTCAGGTTTTTTTTTTATTTATATGTGCATACAATGTTTAGGTCATTTCTCCCCCCTTCCCCCCGCCCCCTCCCTTACCCCCTACCCCTCCATTCAGATTTTTAGATCAGCTATTGTTTACCCTGTAAAAATTTTTGCTGGAGTTTTGATTAGAATTCATTTACTTTAAATTCATAAGATTGGCATTTTTATTATCTAGATTCTAGAGAATTCTTACTATGAGTTGTAAAATTTTCACTTATTCAATAATATTCTATAATTTTCCCCATAAATGTCTAGCCCATCTTTGGTTAAATGTATTCCATAGAGTTCTTTTTTATCACTTTTAGAAATGATATAGTTTTGTGACTTGCATTTTCTAACTATTAATTATTAATATATACACTGCTAATGATTTATGGGTATTGATCTCATATCCATCCACTGTGCTGAGCAGTCTTATTTACTTTAGTGGTTTATCTATAGATCCCCCTTTTGTGTGTGTGTATGCATGTGCATGTGTGCACGCACATGTAACATCATCACAAATATCAAAAATTTCATATATCCTGTTTCTCTTGTTTATAGATCTTTGAGATAACTATCCTCACATGTTTACTTTAAAAATATTTGAAATCATGACTCAAGCTTATATGTATGGGCATCAGGTTTAATAAGGGACTACCTTTGATATGGTAAACCAGAAATTTATTGTGAAGCCAAGACTGTGCATTAATACTACCTTCTTATGCTTCCATTGGTTTTATTATTATATGTTGTCTCCCCAAACAGATTGTGAACTCATTAATCATAAAGAGCACCTGTTAGACCTGGAGGTATTGCTAGCCCTGTGTATAAGAGCCCTAGAGAGGATAGCTTCTCATTGCTGTTTGTTGGGGTGAGGTAACTTGTATCTCTCTCCCATGACCTCTTCTTTGTTCCTTATTTATTATAAGAAAGTATGGATTAAAATACCAGTCTTATAGTGGTTAACTGTGCTTTATCCTTTTTTATCATTTCCAGTTCAACTACACGAGTGCTTATCAAATGCTGACTGGTTAGCCAGCACTATCTTTGTGATGTAAGGATGTGAATGCTTACAGATCTGGTCAATGCCACTGATTCTTTTTAAACCTTTTTGGGCTCCCCAATTGCTTGAAAATAAGTAATCATAATCAAAGTAATAATAGAGAACACTTAGTGAGGTAATACTATATGCCAGGAACTCTCAAAGCATTTTACATGTATCGTCTTTTTTATCCAAACAAAATCCTAGGAGGTAATCAATGTCATTATCCCAACCTTACTGATGAAGAAATTGAAACTTAGAGTGGTTAAGTTGCTGCTGACTTGGATGACTAGTGAGTGCCAGGAAGTTTGAGCCTGTGCTTTTGGCATTGGTACTGTACTCTGCATCATGGCATGTGAGATTGCTTGTGATAGGCCAGGCATCATCTCTTGTCCTTCCACTTATTATCTTCTGTAGTTCACTGTACTAATCTACTTGCAGGTTCTTTAACTTGATATCTTCACTCTTACTTCATACCTTTGATAAAGCTGTTTTTTCTAAGACAGCAACCTACCACAAAATTTGCCTATTTCTTTCTGTAGCTGTAGGTGCCATTTCTATGTGTTTATATAATATGGTGGTCTTGTCACATAGTGCTGCAATTGACTGTTTCCTTTTCTTTGTTTCCCTTTAATTCAGTGCTACCTCTAATTTACTCCTGGATACTTGGAACAAAGTACACGATTACCTGACATATAATAAATTTAGAAATATTCATTGAGTTAGCTAGTAATTTGATGAAAAAAAAAGACACAACAATCCCACTATATCTGTGAGTTCTTCATTCAACCAACTTTGGATTGAAACTATTCAGAAAAAATTTACGTGTGTACTGAGCATGTTCTGACTTTTTTTCTTGTCATTATTGTCTGAGTACAGTATAACAACTAGTTATATAGCATTTACACTGTGTTAGGTATTATAAGTAATCTAGAGATGACTTTAAGAATAGGGAAGGATTTCTTTAGGTCCTATGCAAAGATATACCATTTTATTTAAAGGGATTGAGCATCTTCAGATTTTTATATCCACAGGGGTTCTTTAACCAATCTCCTACAGATTGTAAAGGGTGATTATATTCACATGAAAATATAACTTAGAGTAGCATTCATTAGCATGTCTGCCATGTAAATGATATTAAAAGGGTTTAGTAAACGGAGAAATGTAGTTAGTCTAAAGCAGTAAAGGGAGCCTTCTTTTCCACTAAGGCAGAATTTTTTGATATCTATACCTCTCCTTCAGTTTTGACTTTGCTTGAACATGTCTGCTGTCATTTTCTCTACCTATTTATTGGCTGCTTGATTTCATGATGATTTTTTTTTCCCCTAGTCTCAGACTCAAGTCATTTTGTAGACAATGTCACTATTTCATTACATGTAGCTTCTTGGTCCAGCTTCTATCTACAGTGAGATGCTTTTCTTTTTCTTTTACTCTACAGTGTTTGCAGGCATTTTAGTAGTACACAAAACTTAATAGCAAAAACATATTTGGGGGTTGGGTGGTGGTCACGCCAGCACTGGGGGCAGAGAAAGGAGAATCCAGAATTCAATCCCAGGCTGGGCTAAACAGTAAGACGTGGGCATTAATGGCTCATGCCTGTATTTCTAGCTACTTGGAAGGCTGAGATCAGGATGATTGCTGTTCAAGGCCAGCCTGGGCAAATAGTTCAAGTGTGAAACCCTGAGTTCAAAACCCCAGTCCCACCAAAACAAACAAATAAACAGCATATTTGGGAGTTCCTACCAAGTGAATCCAAATTACTCATGTTGAAATTTGAACTCATAGATTTAAAGAGATCATACTCTATACTGAATCTGCTAAATAAATCTTATATCAGTTAGGTTCTCTAAGGTAAAATCATATGTCCTCAAACACCATCAGGTTGTAGAGCTAAAACCTTGACTTTATCAAAATTATGTTCCTTATCTTATTCATGCCTTGCTTTCAGTGCCTTGTTGTGAAATTTGTCAAAATACCTCGCTGCATGTTTTTGCTGTGGTAGTTGTAAGATACAGTTTGACTAAACAAAATGGAAATAATTCCTCAAAGATTTAAAAGATAAAGATGGAAAACATGAATGTTACACTTTTAAAGTTTGATTTTGCTTTAGGATATATATCATTTTGTAGTGTTTTGTTTTATGTAGGCAAATACATTAGATTAGATGACTTGGTTGTTTTTAGTTCACTATGTTGTGCAAATACTAAGGCTTTTAAAATCTTTTAAAATTATTATTTAAAAAAGTAAATGGTATTTTAGTTGTTGCCAATTGGGAACATTTAACAACTGATCTTTCCCTCTTCTCCCCCTCTTTTTTCTACAACATTTATATTGCAGCCAAATGACTTTAATTGCTGCTTATAAAACAAAGAGCTAATTGTGACCAATCTTTCCTATTATGTTATTGTGATAATGGAAAATTTCAAAGTAATGTGTTACATAAAGCAAGTTGCTCGATGACTTGGCTAAATAAAACAAGAATAAAGACTGGGAAAAAATTTTGCAAAAGGCTATAATGAACCATAAAAGTATATTGAATATATGAGGTGATGGATATATGTTAAATTCCACAAGATACATATACATTGAAACATCACAATATGCTCCTTAAATATATACAACTATTTTATGTCAATTGAAAAAGAAAAAAGTGAAGAAAAAACATCAAACTAGTAAAAAAAATGAACAATAATCATTCAAGATATTCAGTTGTATGTTAAAGCTTGGGCGTGACTCAAGTGGTGGAATGACTGCTAGCAAATATAAGGCCCTGAGTTCAAACTTCAGTGTACTTTTTAAAAAAGTGCTACATTATCCTTTGTTCTTATTATTTTGCCATAAATCAAGTTTGATTTTATTACATTGGTGAGGATTTATAAGTAGATTTTTTTCCCTATTTTTTTAGGACAGAGCTTTATACTATTGTTCTCTGTACCTTTGTTCTAATTATTATTTTTCGCTCTAATTATTGTTTGATTATTAATTTTACTTTTGAAGAATATACAGTCATTGCAAGTGCAACTAGTAGATTTATTGTTTGGTTCCTTTTAATATCTAGTTATCATTTGCTGTTTGAAAATACTAAAAGTATATATGTCACTGGGGAAACACATCTGATACAGCATTCACTTTATATGTTTGGTTTGTTTTTTGTGCTCTGGGGCTTGAACCCAGGGCCTCAAGCTGCTAAGCAGGCACTGTACCAGTTGAGCGACACCCCAGCCCCTCACTTAATTTATTTTAGTCAGAATTATTTTCTGCATCTTGGTGTTTTATAGTGTCTGTTTTTTTAGATGTAAGTTTAAATTACTCTTTTTGGCGGGGGTGGGGGGGCAGGCAGTACCAGGTTTGAACTCAGGGCCTCATGCTTGCTAGGTGGATGCTGTACCACTTGAGCTAGTCCACTGGCCCTTTTTATGTGTGTTGGCTATTTTTGAGATAGGGTCTTAGTTTTTGGACAGGCTGGCCTTGAACCATAATCCTCCCAATATCTGCTTCTTGAATAGCTTAGGTTAAAGTACATTTTAAAATCTGTTTTGGGAATTTTTTTTTGGTAATACTGGAAATTGAACTCTGGGCCTCACACTTCCTAGGCAGGCATTCTACCTCTTGAACCATGCCATCAGTCCTTTTTTTGGACGTGATCTGAATTTTTGCCTGCTTCTGGCCTCAGATCACTATCCTCCTACCTTCGCCTCGTACTGAGCTGGAATTACAGCTGTCAGTTTGTTGAGTTGGGGTTTTGATAACTTTTTGCCTGGGCTGGTCTCAAACCACAGTCCTCCCAGTCTCCACTTATTGAGTAGCTGAAATTATGCATATGAGCCATCACATCTTTTTGCTTTTAGGTTTTTTTGTTTTGTTTTCAGATAAGGTCTTATACTTTTGCTGGAGCCAGCCTCAGACCACTATCCTCCTACTTTTGCTTCCTCAGTAAGCTGGAATTATAGCTGTGAGCCACCAAACAGGCTTAGTTTTATATTTTCAGTGATGATAAGGATTTCTCTAAATCTGTAAACATTAACTGCTTGATCAGAGAAGGAAATAATGTGATATAAATGTATCCTGATGAGATTTTCTTTGTGTAACAGCACTGAAAAGAGGCGCAGGGAACAAGAAAATAAATATTTAGAAGAACTAGCTGAATTACTGTCTGCCAACATCAGTGACATCGACAGCTTGAGTGTAAAACCAGACAAATGCAAGATTTTGAAGAAAACAGTCGATCAGATACAGCTAATGAAGAGAATGGAACAAGGTAAAAAACAAAAAACATGGCTATGTTCTTTGTTGTTAAAACATAATACATCATTATGCTCTTTTATATTAAGAAACAATGTTAAATTCATAATTTTATTAAATGTTTTTGCTTAGATGGCATTTATTTTATTATGTCAGGAGTTTCTTATTATAGCAAAGTGGCTTACTAGACTAACTTGAAAACTAGTTGTCTGGAAATTTATGGACTCCAGAGTCACAGAGAATTGAGGCAGGAATACAAGTAGTAGCATGACCTGAGGCTCTGGCACTGAATTGAAGAGCAGTAACTCCGGAAAGGGTAATTTCTTGTCTGCCTGAGAACACTTGCCTCTGTCTTGGTTCTCCATGAGAAAAAGTTTCCTCTGAAAAATTCTTGATGAACTTTTGAAGTTGATATTTGTACTACTCATACTTATCAAGAATCCCATACCACTAAACCCTGGAATTGCCCACCAGAAACAGAGCAGAATGTCTCCCAACTTGGCCCCACAGAGTGCCACAGAAAAGTGCTTGTTTGGGTGATTCTACACTAAAACTTTACACGAGAAATTAATCTATGGTGAGTAATAGCACAAATACCAAATGAGGGACAGACCCAAAAGACTTCAAATGAATAGCATCAGTATGAAAAGATTGTAGACAAATATACTTAAAAACACTAAAGTTGCATGATTTAAAGATTTTAGAAACTGGAAAACTGTCAAGTGACAGCTGATTCAGCAGACAAGAGAAACCATACCTGAAGCCTATAGACACCAGCAGCCTGGCTCATAACACCCTAAGTGGAAAATGGCAGGATTCTTGTGGGGAAATCAATCAGTCCAAGGGGAAAGACTTTTAGGGATGACCTTAAGTGGAAAACTTAGCTCCTTACTCTGTCCCTCTTCTCACAGGGTTTCCAGTTGGCGTTTTAGTGAGCCAACTTTAATGTGGGTGAAGCCTAAGGCAAAAAGGGGGTGGGTGCAGCAGCTTAAGGGGGCAAGAGAGCACTTAAAGCAGTCAGCCTCTCAGGGACACAGAGGAGACGCTTCACCCTGACAGAAGAGTACCCTCTGTAACTCAAAGCAGGACATGTGGGAGGAGTGAAGGCTATGGAGAAGAGTAATATACAATGCAGATGGGATGAATTTGATTAAATTGCATCATATGCATGTATGTAAACACCACAATGAAACCCCTTCATACAATTGATTTATGCTAACAAAAAACTTTAAAAACTAAATTAAAATAGGATCCTTGGAAAAATCATTACCTCCTCCGATGCTTATTTTCTTTGCCTCTGCACACCCTTCCCCAGCCTTTCTGGGCATATGTTGTCTCAGGGATTTATACTTGCTTTTCCCTCTGTTGAAATTCTCTTTCCTAGGTACCCACATGACTTGCTCTTTCACCCTTTCCATGTCTTTGCTCAAATTTGTCTTCTCAGTGAAATTGTTCCTAACTACCCTATTAAAATTTTTAAGAAGGAAATGTACATATCGCTCTACACTGTTCTTGTTTTTTTTCCACAGTACTTTTTACATCTGATCTATCAGATAATTTGAAGAAATCCCTTAGACAGTAAAATAAACACACAAGGACTGGACAATAAGAGAAAGGATAAGAAATTAGGCCAGGTATGATAGCTCATGCCTATTATTCCCAGATATTCAGGAGGCAGACATTGGGAAGATCAGGGCTCAAGAGCAGCCTAGGCAAAAAGTTAGCAATTTCCCAGTTCAACAAGCCAGTTCTGGTTATGCAGGCCTGCAATTCAGCTACATGAGAGGCATAGATAGGAGGACCATCGTTCAAGACCATCCTGAGACAAAAGTACTCAGGAGTGAGGTGAGGCTCAAGTAGTTGAACATTTGGCTGACAGGCACAGGGCCCTGGGTTCAGATCCCAGTGTTGCTAAAAAAAATAAAAAGAGCTAAGAGCTGGTGGCTCATGCCTGTAATTCTAGCTACTCAGGAGGCAGAGATCAGTAGGATCACGGATCAAGGCCAATCCAGGCAAATAGTTTGTGAGACCATATCTTGAAAAAAAAAACCTTCACCAAAAAGGGCTAGTGGAGTGACTCAAAGTCTAGGCCCTGAGTTCAAGCCCCGGTACTGCAAAAAAAAAAAAAGAAAAGAAAAGAAAAGAAAAAGACAGGATTATACAATTAGTTCAAGAGTTGTAACATAGGATTCATCACAGGAAAAAAAGAGCAGACTAAATAGAAAGGAATAAATGATAAGAGGAAGTAATAAAATTTTCCTAGCAGCCCAGCATTCTGATGGCTGAGGCAGGAACATCACAAATTCAAGGCCAGCCTGAGCTACATGGTGAGACCCTGTATCAGAAAGAAAAGTAAAAGAAAAAAAAACACTCATGTAGTGCCCAGCACAGTTAATGAAAAGTACCAATACACAATTTAGTGATATTTTAAAACATCAGAGAGAAAAAAATAAGAGCAAAGAAAAGCAGGTCTTCAACACAATAGATTGATTTTGGAATGGATTCTAAGTAATTTTGAAAACTAGACTTCTAGACATGGAATTAGTGAAAAATAGATATTGTCAGACAATCAAAGTCTCAGAACTGTTATCTTCTATCATACCATTGTCAGAAATATCTATCGAAGCCTAGATAGTAAACCAGGGAACAAAGGAAAGGGGATCACAGCAGTGCAGCAACTTAAAAATAGCCAGTCACAGTAGGAGCAAGTGCATAGAAGACTCCAGGAGGAATATTTCCATAGCTGACCAAATGAAGAGGTGAGTTTAGGGATGAATGAAATACACTGAAAATTTGAAACTACACACAAAATATAAGAAAAGAACTATAAATGACAGCACACACCATGGCGCAGTAATGAAGTATATTCATATAACAGCAGTAACGTAGATGTTAAATATTGATTGCTTGAAAAATATTTTAAATACATATATTGAGAGGATTAGTGGAGAGAAAAATGTGTGTAGCAGGTTGGTGTAAATAAACTAAATTCTTACTATTTATGGTAGCATGTCAACAGATTACGTCTACCAAGGGCAAAACATGGGTAGAGTACAGCAAATAAGCATGCTATTGAGAAGCATAGAGTACATCGATTAGAATATCAGCTAGGCTAGACACCCAAAATACCTACTAGGTAGGTGCCTGCTATTCATAATACTTCCATCTTTTTTGCTCTGCCACTCCTAAGGTATTGCCATTATCCACGTGATTGGTATGACTCACCTGTCCATGTCCCAGATGACAAAAAGGAGAAAGAAAAAAATGGGGAGTCATTTTATAGACAAGATTCAGAAATTGTACCTCACTTCTGTTCATATTCCTTAGGCCAGAAACTGTCACATAACCATTTCTATCTTAGGAATTTTAAATGTTTTGGTTTTTCATATATTAGTGATTTAATTTATATGAACTTAATGGTTTTTCTTTAGTAGAACTTCCTTTAAAAAAAAAAAACCTTTTTCTTAATGACATAAATCTATGTCTTCATAAACTTGCCTTTATGGAAATGAGCTGTCTTGGAATGTCTGATTTTTAGTTTCTTTATTGTAGAGAAATCAACAACTGATGATGATGTACAGAAATCAGATATCTCATCAAGTAGTCAAGGAGTGATAGAAAAGGAATCCTTAGGACCTCTTCTTTTAGAGGTAAGTATCCTCATTGACCTAGAAATTAAATACCTTTTTTCTTGCCAATTTAGTCTTTTCTATACCTTCTTTTATGTCTTATATTTAATTAATATATTATGAAACAAAGTAAAGTGTTTAAAAACTTTTTGTAATTGTTTTATTATAAAAGCCATTTGAGTTTTTTTTTAACAATAGATGTTTTTATTTCAGAGTTAAAGGTAAATAATGAGCACAAATACTTTTCATAAAGGTATTCCAAGTTGTCTGATGGAAAACTGAAACCTACTGTATGTCTTTGCCTTGTGTTTTAGGGATGGTTAGAATTAACTGGAAAAACAGAATTATTTAGCTAGCTAGTGCTATCTATATATATGTTGTAGAATTTCACTTTTGAGTGAAGGAAACCTCTATTGGAGTAGGTATTGTCCCAGAAATTTTTCTGAATAAAAAAAATTCAGATTGCTCATGTAAATATTCTTAGAGAATTACTATAAAACTTTGTAAAGTTTGTAAACTGTTAAACTTGAATTACTTTGTAATTACTGTATAATTTTCATCCATGCCTTTCCTATTTAATTTTTGCTACCTGTGTTCTGAACACAGATGTTTTGTTTTCAAGGAAGCTCATTACGGTCAATGCTCTCTCATACCTGACTGTCTAAAAACGCTTGTCTATGTGTACGTGCATCCTCATCCCCACAACCTACACTTTGCTGTCTCTGTGTCTAATTTTATATATATTTACATGAGTATGTAAAATAAATTTGTTCCTTGTCCTTCCTCAAAGCTTCCTTTCTGGTATAGAAACTTGTATAAGTTCTAACAAATTTGTATAGGTCTCTTTAATCCCTCATTTCTTTATTTACTTTGCCCCATTACCATAACTTCCCTGACTTTTGTATTAGCCATAGTTCCCTCTAGCTATGGCTAATGTAAGAAAATTCTTAAAATTAAGTCCTTGCTTTTCCACCTCTGGTAATACATTAACATTGTTTCACCTCTCATCCTATAGAGATGCCACCCAAGTGTGTCCTTTTTGCTTTAGCTTCTCCCCATGCTCCACTCCTGTGCTTTGCACAGCCACTTTCCTGCTAGCAACTTCTTTGTCAAAATATAAATCCTTTTTGCTACCCAAATTATACCAGTTTTGTTAATTTAGAATATTGGTTTTAGTGATTTTTATTTAGGGAACAAGCACACAATATTGTAGACTTATAAAATCTAAAAGACACTGGTCATTGAAACTGAGATAGAAACTACTCCTTGAGTGAATGTATCCATGAACTGGAGGGGCAGGGGAAGAGGCCACCTGGGATGGAGGCTATTTTATTATATTATTATTATTATTATTATTATTATTATGTTCTTTTCACAGCCTATCAGATTCTTTGCATGACTGTATCTTGGAAAACAGTGTTGTAGCAAGTGTAGTAAAAATGTTAAGATAGAATCTAGGTAGTGGATGTGTACATATTTGTTTATAAAGTCTTTCAACTTTGCTTTATTGTAATTTTTAATATAAATTGCTGAAGGAAAGTAAGTTTAAAAAAATGTGCAGTGGACTCATTTCCCACTTGCCTTTCATTACTGCCCAGTGTTCACCACCTACCACTGCCCTGCTACTTGATTGCAGTTGGACCCTCCTGGAGATCCGGCCCTTCCTAGCTCTTACCTCCTATATGCATGTTAGCAGAATTGTCTTTTTCATACTTTCTACTTTTTCTTTGGAAATTCCATCTGTCTTTGAGCCCTCAGTTAGACTGACCCTGGCACTTTATATCTCCTTTCAATTCATTAAATATTTATTGATTATATTATGTGTATGTAGTGTCTTTTGAAACACTGGAGAAATATTAGGTAGAAAGGTCCTTGAGATTTCTGGGTTTCTGTGAAAAGCAATCATTTGGATCCTAGTCTGTCTGTGCAATACTCAGAAACCACAGAGATCAAAGAGAGCAAATGTAATCTACAAATAAAATGCAGCACAACTGAATACAAAGACTATTGCAGTTGCTACTTTTTATAAACATTTGTTAACCTTGTATCAGAAAAGTCAAGACACTTTCAAGGAACAGACAACAAGAAAACATCTGCTTGAGTCAAAGGGAAACTGTGACACATTACACATTAATTTCTCTTTCACTCCCCCCTCCCTCCTCCTCAACCTCCTGTCTCCCTCCCTTTCTCTATTTCCCCCTTTTTCCCTCCTTCTCTTACTTTTTTTTTTTTTTTCTTGAGACAAGGTCTACAGGCTTGCACCACCATGCCTGGCTAGATGATAGTTTTCAAATATTAAAAAAATTGAATTAGAAATTGTGAAAACAGAGTTGAAATATATTTAGGTTCTTGGCCTCAAGAATATATTTTTATGCGCTGTAGATACGTAAGCCTTTAACGTAGAATTAGTAAGTTTTATAGACTTCAAAACTGCTTTCATTAACTACCCTTTCTTTATCCCTCAACCTTGTCTCCCATGATTTAAATATAACAGAGATTAATCCAGGGCAGCTAGACCAGGGTGTGGTAGAAACCCTGCAAGGAGCTTTTTCATTGCATTATTCAGGCTACAGTCTGGAGCTGTCCTGTTCAGTGTGATAGCTACTAGCCACATGTGGATATTTACATTAAAATGAAATAGATTAAAAATGCTGTGCCCCAGTGTTACCAATGACATTTAAAGTGTTCAGTATTCACATGTGGTTAGTGACTCCAACATATGAGACAACAGAGATACAGAACACTCCCACCACTGCAGAAAGTTCAGTTTGACAATATAGTCTAGAACATTTCTAAAGCTAAATTTACAATGCCTTTTACCTCCTATTTTGAAAAAGGGGGAATTGTGGTTTTGGGTTTTTTTTTTTAAAACAAACAAAAAAGACGAAGTAGAAGAACAGGTTTTCACCACCATATCCCCTTTCCTAGGGGAAAGGCACTTCAGAGCACTGAAGTCATTAATGAAAGAGTTGCTCCAGATCCTCAGCTCTGCAGCTGTAATAGGCCACCAGATGCTGTTAGTTCTGTTACTTCCAGTACCATGGGCTGTCATTTGAACTGGATGTCACCATTGCTGTACCCGGTCTCCATCCTCCAGTCTGCACCCCATGTCCCTGCCAAGGGTCTATCTAAAAGCAGATCAACATTGCCTCTGCATAACCCCCATTGCTTCCTGGACAAATTCCTTACTGTTTTGCTTTTCCTTGAAACTTTTTCACAAAAACTTTTTTACTATTAAATGTAACAAATACAAGTATATAAAAGAAGGCTTTTTTTCTTTTTAACTATCTGAGCATTTTACTACCTGTCCTTAAATGGCCTTTCCTTCCTTCCTCCACCTGCGTTCCTATAAGCCTGTGACCAGGTGTAATGTTACCTTCTCCATGAAACCTCAGCCACAGAATGTTTATCCCTTCCCCACTGTGGGAGCCTCACTCTGTTCTTAACCTTTGTGAATTCCTTTTTTTTTTTTGCCATGTTTATGTGTTTCTCCTCAGAGACATGAAAGTATTGAGAATTTTGTGTTTATCTCTAATACTTTGTCCAGTGACTGACTCTAGGTGGTGACCTCACTGAAACCCTGGGCCCTGTGAGAAGCCTATGCAGTGAGAGTCCTGCTGTGACACTGAGGTGCTTCTCCTTAAGGGAGGCATCCAGGCAGAAGGAAAAGCACCTCAGATAGATGTTGTTGTACTTAATGGACAGGCATTTGTTATCATCTCTGTGTGCAGCATAACATAAGACCAGCTGTCAGGAAGGTTCCTCCCCAGGAGCACATGGGGACCTTCATTATATGTACAGTATATAAGGGAAACTTGTAGAACTACAATAAGTAAAGCTGATCATATTAGTCAGACATACTTCTAAAAAGTTACATGCTTGTATATTCATAAGACTAGTGCCAAAAATTATTCCCTGAATTGTTATCAATCTTTCAGGAGTGGGATTTTGGCTTATCTTCTACTATTGACCTTGTTTTCATATTGTAAATTTTTCTGTAAGCATGCATTTCATTTATAATAAAAACAAAATTAAGGAAGTTCAATGTATATTGATATGTGTATTGATTTGGTTATTTTCCAAGATTATTTTAAAATAATTTTAAAATATACCTTAAAAATAAATGTGTATTTTTAATTATTCCTATTTTCATATAAACTGTAAGGCAAATATTTATATTGATCACTTAATATGAGATTTACAAGTAATCTGACTTTTTAAAAAAGTTAGCTGGGGCTGGAGGCATGGCTAGTGATAGAGTACCTGCCTAGCAAGTTTGAGACCCTGAGAGTTCAAACCCTAGTACTGCAAAAAAAGCAAAAAAAGTTAGGTGGATATTAAGGTGCTTTCCTATGTACATCTAAAGTAAAAATAGTTTGTAAAGGATTTTCCTAGTATTGAGATTTTGAGATTATTGCATTTTGAATTAAGAGATGATCATAGCAGTCAGTTGCAATAAAAGTAGCTTCTTTTCTTTTCTTTTTTTTCTTACTAAACAAAATATTACCAATATTTTTTTAAAGAGAACAAGGGGTTTTGCTTCATTATTTTTTTAAAATCTTAGTTGAATGCTCTGTAACAGAATGATTTAGAGATGTAGTTCTAAGTTCAATTTTGTTTGTGTTTGGTTTTGTTTTTTGGTGGTACTGGGGATCCAACTCAGTCTTGAGCTTGCTAGGCAAGGATTCTACCACATGAGGTACACCCCAGTCCTTTTGTTTTTTTTAGATAAGACCTTAGGCTTTTGCCCAGGCTGGCTTGGAACCAGGATCCTCCTCCCTCTATCTCTCTAATAGCTGAGACCACAGCCCTGATTGTTTTTGTAAAAAGGTCTCACTAAGTTTTTGCCTGGGCTAGTCGTGAACCACAGTTCTCCTGTCTCTACCTCCCAAGTAGCTGGAACTGCTGGCATGAACCACCATGTCTGGCGCTAAATGCAATTTATTTTAACATTTAGTTTAAATAATAATTTTATCCATTCATCCATTAATGGATTCTTAGGTTAATTCTGTATCTTGGGTATTGTCAATAATGCTGTGGTGAATATGGGAGTATTGATAGCTCTTAATGATACTGATTTCAGTATACATTTTGGATATACATCAGACATGGGATTGCTGGGTCACCTGGTAGTTATATTTTTTAATTTTAGACAATCTTCCATGCTTTTTCCCATATTGGCTGTGTCAATTTATATTCCCAGGGTACAGGAGTTCACCTTTCTCCACATTCTCATCTCATGTTTTGGTTACTTTTGTCTCTTTGATACTAACCATTCTGATAGATGTAAAGTGATATTTCACTATGGCTTTAATTTGCATTTCAACCCTAAGTGTCCATCAGCAAATGAACGGATAAAGAAAACATCTATATTCACAGTTAAATACTATTTCATCCTTTAAAGAGAAAAGGAAAATAACACAGGTAGGCCTAGAAGACATTATACTAAGTGAAGTAAGTCTGGAAGATTGTGAGCTTAAGGCCAGCCTGGGCTACCTTGCAAGGTTAGGTTTCCAAAAGAAAACAAAAAAATTAATAATAAAGGACTGAGGGTATAGAGTAATAGAGTAATAGAGTATAGAGTATAGAGTATTGAGTAATAGAACACTTTCCTAGCACATGCAAGACCCTCGGTTCAGTTCACAGCAACAAACACACACATGCGCACACACACACACAAGAATGATCATTACCATCATCTTAGATGATAAAAATGCCTCACAAAGATAAGGTAGATGCATATGGAGGCATAGATCGTGAATGTATTTATTTAAATCACAATACTCATTTTCAAATCCTGTCCATCAGTTACACAAAGGTTTTTCTTGACAGTCCATCTTCTTTGATTCAAAGAGTAATTCTTCTAAACATATCAGAAGTTGTATTTTCACACTTAAAAAAAAGTAGATTCAAAGCCTACTAAAACTCTTGATTAGAATATTTTTCAGCAGGTAAAAGGAGATAAATTTTATAAACTATTCCTTTTCATCCGCAAAATCATAACTATGAAGCTTCATAGCTATAAAACTTAAGTGGTAGAGTGCTTGCCTAGCATGTGCAAGGTCCTGGATTCTATCCCCAACACCACACACATACACACACACACACACACACACACACACACACAACACACACACACACACACACAAATCTAACTATGATAACATTCCCAAACATCCATTTTCACATGCCCCCTTATAGGATAAGTATCTTTTTGAAAAGCAGTTTACTTTGCATTATTGTTAAAATTTCACTTTAACTCTGAAGAAAAAATTGTTTATTTTGGGGAAAGTATCTACTAGGTAGCATATTATCATTAACCCTTATAGAAGAGGGCCAAGCCACAACGTGAGACACTTGCCTTTTTCTAAAAAGAAAAATGAGCAGCTCATTGCATTTTGACACATAATAACTTAAGGACTCCATAAGGTTTTTTAAATCTTGTTACAAAATTCAGTAAATGTTCTGAGCTGTAAAGGTCTTATTTTTATTGCTTATATACATTCTGTATCCTGCAACATGTTGCAAATAAATGAAAAGATTCCAGATCTTCCCTCAGGATTCCAGGGTTTGTGATTTGTGACCATCTAGACTGCATGAAGTCTATATGTTTATTAAGCTTGATTTCTTCTATATGTTTTAGATTACAATATAGAGGTTCTTTTTTCCTGTACTCTTTGGTGCACATATATCTCCTCTTGGAGAACCTTGGCTCCATCTCAGCATATAGGAGGCCCCTGGGTCTTGGCGCCTGTCTACTCTCCTGACTCATTTCCTACCAGGACCTGCTCTGTCCATGTACTCCAGCAGCTACACATGGCTTATGCCTTTCCTTGTGTGCCATATGCTGCTCTCTGCCTGCAATGTCCTTCCCTCAGGCAGGGCTCTGTAAGAAGCCTTTCATTTGGCCTCACGATCCAAATTAGGTATCTTGTCTGTGTCAAGTATATTTTGTGTATGTCCTCATATTGTATTTAATCATGCCTATCTCTCTCTCTCTCTCTCTCTCTCTCTCTCTTCTCTCTCTCTAACTGTACCACAGGTTCCTTTAGGGCAAGACCAACTATTAACCTATACAGTTTAGAGTTGTTTTTTTTTTATGATTGAATAAAAGGGATAATCACTACTTCACAGCTGCTACCATAAAATTTTATTTCTAAGAAAGAAGGCTGACATTTATTTAGACCTATTGTAAACATTAGTTTACAGTTCATGCAAAAATTCTGTCACCTCCAAGAGTAAGGAAACCCCTCCTTTTAACTTGACATATATTACAGATCTCTTTTTTAATAAAGCAGTGTATATGCTTGCTTCTCTCTTTATCTTTTAACCTCCCAACCTCTTAATCTTTTTTTTTTTTTACTTTGTAGGCTTTGGATGGCTTTTTCTTTGTTGTGAACTGTGAAGGAAGAATTGTATTTGTATCAGAGAATGTGACCAGCTACTTGGGTTATAATCAGGAGGAATTGATGAATACCAGTGTCTACAGCATACTCACAACCTCTTAATCTTTTTTTTTTTTACTTTGTAGCTTTTGGAATGGCTTTTTCCTTTGTTGTGAACTGTGAAGGAAAGAATTTATTTTATCAGAGAATGTTGACCAGAACTTGGGTTAATAACAAGGAGGAATATGGATGAATACCAGTGTCTACAGCATACTACATGTGGGAGATCATGCGGAATTTGTCAAGAATCTGCTGCCAAAATCACTAGGTAGAAAGAAACTCATTTTTTAAAAGAATGCTGACTCTATGGCTTCTCCTTTCATAATACGTATCATATTATATTTGTAATACATCATATTGTAATCTGTAATTAATAGTATAGAATAATATATAATATATTTTAAATATTTTTAATGCAGTTTTAGGTTCAGATAATCCAATAAATGATAAGAGAGCATTCATCATCTTGTATATTTTGATCATGTGACAGTAGTTGGAGACAGAACAGTTAGTTGCTTTACCACTAGAAGCTTCTGCTTAAAATTCCCTTTGTTTTGCCTAGGGACATGGTAGCTTATGATTGTAATCCTAGCTGCTCAGGATGTAGAGATCAGGAGGCTTACAATTCAATGCCAACGAAGGCAAAATGTTAGTGAAACCCCATCTTAATCAATAAGCTTGTCATGGTAGTATATACTGTGATCCCAGCTATGAGGGAGGGAGGCAATGGTTAAAGAATCTTGATCTGAAGCCCACCCTGAACAAAACTCAAGACCCTACCTGAAAAATAACTGCAGCAAAAAAAGAAAAAGAGGGCTGGAAGTGTGGCTTAAATGTTAGAGTGCCTGCCTAGCAAGTACAAGGCCCTGAGTTCAAACCCAGTACCACCAAAAAAAAAGAATCCCTTTGTTTTCAATTTTTATTAATATCCATGAAAGAGACATAATAAAAATCCTTCCTACTACTTTGCCTAAACTCAGGAGTATGATTAGATGGGCTGTCCACTGCCAGGGAACCCAACAGAGAGGATGGATGGGGTTGATTTCCATTCTTTAACCCATGTTCTTTAAGGCAGGCTGGGCTCTTAGGAACTAGGGGAACTTTTACTAATCTCTAAAGTTCATGGATGTAAACTAACAGCATCCTTTGTTTATGTCTCAGATTTTCAGGGTCTTTTTAAAGCTTTTCAGGGCTCAAGCTCAGTTACCCTTGGTGACTTGGTTCCTATGTCTCCACGTGCATGAGTGTGTTTTCCATAGTCAGTGTACATTTTGTTGGCAAATAGGAACAGTTTCATGTTTATTCAGGTTTCCCCATTTTCCCCATTTTAAAAAGATTTTTGTTCCTATTTTTCTCATCATTTCTTTATTCAATAAGCTTTGAAATCATATCACACAAATAAATTGATGTCATATCAGTTTTCACATAAGTACTATGTGATAATGTATCTGAGCAGGAGAGTTAGGAGTTTCTAGGCCATTTAGTATGGGAATGAGGCAGGTGGTCAGGGAAGTCAAAACAAGTTCAGGTTTCCCTGATGTCACTGTGGGTAATACTTAGATTTGTTTCCCCTGGCCTTGGATTTTGGGTTTCTTTTGTTCTGCTGTACCACAGATTTTAAGAAGTACTGACATGTGAATTTAATTGAGTTACATAGCATCTTATTTGTTCATTTAAAATTTTTAAGTTTTCTCATCTGGGGTAACAAAGTATCTGTTGGAAAGAGGACTGAGGTCACAGAAAACAAGACTGAGCTGTCTTCTGTCCCCTGAAGAAGAGCTTACTGTTTGCGGAAGGGCCACAATATTTCCCCTTCCCAGCATGCTTATTGCAGACCCATGACTATTCAGGTTGCCCTGTCTCTGCCAGGAGGCAACAAGGAAGGGAGTATCGTCTGATATCTGATTTGCTGGTGATGCTAATGCCTGGCCAACCTACAAGGATGTGGTCCTCAGTTTTACCTGACAGTTTCATGTGATTTTCTCTGAGCAGGCCCCACACAAAAGGGAAGGATATGAACTTCTGCTGTAGAGGCACCTTTTTCTCATTCTTCAAGTTTGAACAGAACAGAAACATCACAAATATGGAGCCACTACTGCCTTTGTAAGAGTACAGATAGAATACAATCGAGTAGATCATCTAAAGGTATGGCATGGCTCTGTAGTAAAGACGTGAATCACCTATCAGTTGGTGACTGATCACCGCATTAAAAATAAGTGAGATGGTCCCACACAAGAATGAAGCACAACTTCTAATTGGAAAAGGCCAATAGTCTCTCCCAAGATACCTACAAAAAGCACTGAGGAGAAATACAATATAATAACTAATTTTAACCTCCATTAACAAAACAGTCAAATTATTAGAAAATCAAAGAGAGAGGCCAAAAATAAAATAATTTTATGTTTCATTATAATTGCCAAAAAAAATTTCAAGGTTTTTTTTTTTCCCAAAAAGAAAACCTATCAAGGAAAGAAATTTAAGAAAAATTAAGATCATTAACTTATATGTGTAGTATGTATACGCCATCGTATACATACCTGATTTGGAAATATTAGATCTTCTTTTTTATCATTATCAAGGAGAATTTTTGAAGGAAAAAACAAAAGCAAACTATTTAAAAATTGCTTTGAAAATTTTAATTGATTTAGAAGATTTAGTATCTAAAATCTATTTCTTTTAAGCATGACATTTTGTTTGTAAGAAAATCATGTGGGGTGGGAATTAAGTATGATATAGTTGATACATGTAAGATTTTTTGTAAATGCCACAATGTGCATCCACGCAGCAAACAATAAAAATACGAAAAGAAAATCAAATTCTGAAAACTGGGAAGCTAGTACAGGTGAAGAGATTTTATCAGAAGGACAAATGTGGACAGATGACTGCTCAGGTAGTTATAAAAAGCTTATATAAAATGTTTAGTAAACATAGACTTATTTGCAAACTTCTAATAAATTGAGACTTTAGTTTGAAAACAATTTTAAGTAGTTGGTGCTTATAGATTCATGGAATTTATTGTCTTTGATGCAGACACTGTAGTAGTTAAGAACATACATAGCGTTGGTGTAAAACAGACCATGGGTAATTCATTCCTTGATTACACTTACTAGGTGTTAAACATTGGGACAGGACACTTGGACCTCCCTCTAGCCTCAATCTTTCCATAGGAAATGTTGAAGGGTAAATAAATGGTGCTTAAGCACATTCCTTTAGCAAGTTCCTTTTAAATTTTAGCTTATTATTGTTACTAAATTACTGTCTTTATCTGAATTTTTAGATCTTTAAATTCAGGAATGAATAACTTATAAGAATGTATTATTCAAAACTACTTGATGTTTGCAGCTTTAGAAACTGAGTCAGGAAGGACATCCGTCTTTTGTGTGGTTCTGTAGTCTGTTCCATAGAGGGTATTGAGGCCAAATTTTTTTACAGACCCATTCAAGAGGAAGAGTTTCATTCTTTCGTCAGTTTTTTTAAAATACATCTGACAGCTACTTTCACCTTAAAAATTCTTTTTTTTTTTTGTTTCATAATACTTTTTTATGTTATAAGGGTTTTTTTTTTTTTAATATTAGCAAGTGGCAATTTACACTATTTTAAAAAGAAGAATCATGTGATTGGGTTAGAATGAAAGAGTTGGTAAAGATTAGAAAAACCACTTAATCAAGCTGATAATTCTAAACTGCCCTCCCACAAAGTACTGAGCTTTGTCAGAGCTTTATACCTCAATCTAGATCGTCCTCTTACTCCATCACAGAGAACCCAGAGCCTTATGTTTGTGATGCTGTTTCCCTTTTTCCCAGAAAATGTAGCTGTTAACTATAGTACTTAACTGTTTCAAAGAAGATTTAGGCTCAAAAACTAAAGCTCCATCTGGTAAAATTAATTTGAGTAAATTTTTAAGAATTAAATATTATGAAATATAGGGAAATCTAAGACAAGATCACCTTGAGATTTTGCCAGCAAATATATTGGAGGATCAGCATATTCGAAAATGATCTTGTTATGTAATTATTATTGTTATTGCTTTAAGATGATATGAATAGTTTAGTAATTATAAATTGTTGCAAATTACGTTAGTTGCTTTAAGTATAGTGATCATTTCTGGACATTTTGTTTTTGGATTCTCAAAAAGTTTTTCTACACTTTTAGTATAATGTAACAGCCTATGAAAATTAAACTTAAGAAAAATGCCCTTTTCTTTCCTTTTTAACTATCTATCTTTCTTGGTTCCTTATGCTACTCAGACGCCTAGCACCCATCTCTCATTTTTTTGTTTTTCTCTGTTCTCTTTCTTTTTACATGAACTGTGTAGAACTTAGATATTGCTGAATTTCTTCTAGCAACATTTAGCAAGTGGCTTTGTAAATACTTCAGTAAGTTGAAACCGTCCTTACAGCCAAATAGATTCAGGAATAAATATCATGGCTTTAAGTGACAAAAGCTTAAAACAAATTATTTTTATCGTAGGTCTTATCTACTTTATTGGAGAATTTTCTAAAGAATTAAGAGAACTTAGCTTAATTCAGCCACATAAGAGAGATAAAACATGAAATGAGTGAGTGTATTAGTTTTCCAGTGATTTTTTTCTTTCCACTTTCTTTCAACTCTTTAGGCTCTAAAAATGGTAAGAGAAAGGCCCCTGGCCAGAAATGTAATAATAAACCAATTGTATATGAAATGTTCATCCATAGCCTTTTATTTTCTAACATTGTCTCTTGAATAGAAAAAATAGAAACCCTTATTTCTTCTTTGAAGAGTGGCAAATGTGTTTTATATTAGCGGGGGACCTGAATTATTACCTTGTACAAGATCATTAGTTTAATATTTGAACTGTAACGTTATCAAGGGACTTTTAAGGTGTTTATTAGAGAATTTTAGAGGCATAATGATTTTAAAGATAAATTAGTGAATCTCTTTATTTTTAAGGATGAAGCAATTGAGCTAGGTGTCATGAATTGCATGCTTATAATCCAAGCACTCAGGAAACTAGGCAGAGGATTGAGAAATTCAAGGCCAGCTGGCTACACAAAAGACTCTGTCAAAAAATCCCCCTTCCCAAAAAGGAAAAAGAACTGATGAAAACTGGAAAATCATACATTAAATTAAACCTAAACCTCATAGCCCTCTCTAAGTAGAGCCAAGACTCCTTATTCCAATATAGGTTGTTTCAATGCTATCTTTAAACAGTAAGGGAAGTGGGTCAATGGAGAATATAAGGTAAGAAAACATTGGGAATGGTTTAGAGAGCAGCCCTTAAAAACCTCTGGCTGCCTCATGACCTCCCATGGTCTGAATGTAACACTATGAAGAAATCGTGACC